GTTTCAATATTGACAATATTGCTGCAATATTGCTGCAATATTTCGTGTTGGGCGGGAAAAGCTTGCGCTGCCCATTTCTCGAGGTCCTTTTACCATCTTGACCCGTAGTACTACGTTATGCCATTTTCTCTCCTCTGATGGCATTATTTATTCTAAGTGTGACTATTCGTTTGATATTCATGGAGTGAGATTCTAACAAATTCATTGGTTTGGTTATAGTTCAAGGCCAATGGGCGATATGAAAGAGAGCATTGTCTAGTGATGCATACTTGAGCGGAGACGGATTATGTCACTCTCCAGCAGGAGAAAGGGAGGAAGTGTGATCTTGATTAACGTGATAGGTGAAAGAAAAATAGAAAAGAATGAATTTAAAAATGTTGTATAACTCAATTCTATTTCGTGCATTTTTTCCTCCGAACGTCCTTCTATTTCGCGTTTTCAAGAAATGACCCGTGAGGATTAGAAATTAGACACGTCAGAGCGGGCTAACTACTGTATAAAGACCTCTTGTAGAACTTATTATGTTTAACATCGCAGTGTCCATTTTTATCATAGGACTTTTTCACTTGAACCGTGTAGTTTTTGCTGAGTTGCCTCGGGATGGAATCACAAAACTGTACAAGGAGCGGAATATTATACCAGATATATTCAAGGACAAAGCACCGAAGGATATTGTAAAGGTGACTATTTTGTGTGTGTAAATAGTATGGAGATTTAACAAGGTGGTAAAATAGTGCTCGGTCCACACTTTTATGCGAGGAAAAAGGTCCGAAAAGTTCAAACATTTTTAATTAGAGTCAAGAATGTTGAGCTCTAATGCACATCAATACAAGACTGTAGGAGAAGAGTGTTCACTTGGTCAGCTCACGTAGATGCATTGGGATATTAAACTGGGGTCACGCCGAGAGATCCATAACGTAATGGGTATATTATGACACCTCATCAAAGATATAAGGATTTATTAAGTATGATTTCTTTTTGGATTCAAAGACATTTCTTGGAATGTTTAATTTAACACTTGAGTAGAAAAATAGAATAATTTTAGCACAGGCCCTGAAACAGTGAAATTATTTATCAAAATTTAGATATGTATTCATATTTTTTTATTTTTTTAAATGTCTGTGCTTCTTTAATAATCCCTACTATTGGACACACAAATAATGCGGTGATTAATCAATTATCCGTTGATTTATGACTCTCAACCACCAAAACATAAGTCTATCACAAGTGTAATTGATGTATTGTAAGTCACTAAGGTGTAGTTGTGAAGGGAAGATTTGTGAACCTGTCACAGGTATTGAAATACCAGCAACTTGTTCATTTCTTAAACTTATAAATTTCTTATGCATATTCAGTTCACTCATTAGGGATAGCTGGATTTCGTACACTTTCCTCTTTTTCAGTCCTATCTCCCAGCCATCACCTTAAATTACCCATTACTTTTATTACTGAACTTGCAGCTGATAGCTCCACTGATTATAGCCAGCCAATAGCGTGTAGACTTGTTGTCTCACCACCTGTGACGTCAGCAAGTCTATATAAGCGTGCGCTGCCCTCATCGGAAAAATACGGAGACCTAGTTAGCTGGACAGTGAAAAGAAAGCGGCTAGGACGAGTATCTACCCGCCCAACACGGAAATATTGCTGAAATATTGTCGAAAACATTTTAACAATATTTTAACAATATCGAAATAATATTGCTGCAATAGTTTGTTGTCCGCCCCCCTGACAATATTGCAGCAATATTGTCAAGGTAATATTGATAATATATTTTAAAAATATTTACTTGCGATGAGGTTATCATATTCCATATCCGTGTGCGCGCACTCTAGGAGACGTCTTTGGTACTAATTTTCTTTCTAATGTACACATGCGTCCAGGTTGCGGATCGTAGAGTTGTTACTGACCTTAAAATCCGCGCCGTCCTAGTCGGGATTAGAACC